GAAGCTCAACTCCTTTCCTTTGAGTCTCGCAGCAATCGTTTTCGTCAATAGTCTATTCCGGTGGTCAATTATGCGTCGCATAGTAGTTTTGGTTCTCGATGTGGCTCATCTGGAGGTCGTAGTGGCTACAGTGCCTACGATGCTAGTCGTGGCAATGGAAGTGTCCCTGATCGTGGTGGTCGTCGTACTAGTACTCTTGGTCGTGGTCATCGTGGTCGTTTTGCAAACTTTCAGTGCCAAATATGTTTAAAATTTGGTCATACTGCTAATGTTTGCCATTTCCGAGCTAATGTATCCTATCAACCACCAGATTCTATGGTGTTGTATGATCCTACAACACAACAGCCTGTTAATTTTAAAAGTTCCAACACTTGGACTAATCCTAATCTCAAACTTGGTACTCATACTGCTATGGTTATTGATTCCCCTTCTCAAGGAGTTTCTACTGAAGCTCATACCACTTGGATTCCAGATTCAGGGGCCTCCAATCATGTTACTAATACAGCTCAAAACATCACTCAGTTTTCCCATTTTGATGGTCCTGATCAGATCTACATTGGTAATGGTCAAGGTTTGCAAATTAAGGGTTCTGGTTCTTCATCTTTCATCTCACCTTTTAATTCTCAAGTTTCTTTTCACCTTAATCATTTACTCCATGTTCCTAACATTACTAAAAATTTGTTGAGTGTGAGTCAATTTGCTAAAGACAATTCAGTCTACTTTGAGTTTCATCCTCACTTATGCCTTGTCAAATCTCAGGCAACTCATGAAATTTTACTTCAAGGTGTTGTTGGTTCCAATGGTCTCTATTCCTTTCCCAATCTTGGGTTGCACAATACTTCTGTTTCTGCTGTTTACTCATGCAAAATTAAGGCTCCTGTACAACTTGTCCCTGTACATCCCTTGGCTACTGTCACTACTGTTGATGTTTCAGCTCCAGCTGTTTCAACTTATAGTTCTAGCAATCTTTGGCACACTAGGCTTGGCCATCCAAATTTACATGTATTGAAGCTTGTTCTCAATCAATGTAAATTTGGTTCAATAAATAAAAATACTGTTGACTTTTGCAATTCATGTGTTATTGGCAAATCTCATCGTATACCTTCTGTTATTTCTGATTTTGTTTATGCTACTCCATTGGAATTGATTTACACAGACTTATGGGGTCCCTCTCATGTAATTAGTTTTTCTGGTTATAGCTATTACATTGATTTTGTTGATGCTTTTTCCAAATATACTTGGATTTATCCCTTAAAAGCCAAATTTGAGGCTCTCACCATGTTTCAACATTTCAAATCTATGGTTGAACTTCAACTTAATCATAAAATAAAGAGTGTGCAGTCCGATTGGGGGGCGAATTTAGACCTTTCACATCCTTTTTAGCCTCTCATGGCATTATTCATAGACTTATATGCCCTCACACTTATCATCAAAATGGGACCGTTGAAAGAAAACATCGCCATATTGTTAACATTGGACTTACTTTACTACATCATGCTTCTTTACCATTAAAATTTTGGGACTTTGCCTTCATGACTGTTGTTTATCTCTTTAATAGGTTACCTAGTGTTGCACTCAATTTTGCTGTTCCTTATACAGTTTTGTTCAAAACCTCTCCCGACTAAAATTTTTTAAAGTCATTTGGTTGTCTGTTTTCCTCTCTTACGACCTTACCATGCTCATAAACTTGACTATAGATCACAAGAATGTCTCTTCTCCGGTTATTCTCATGTTCACAAAGGTTATAAGTGTCTTTCTGCTTCTGGTAGAATTTACATCTCCAAGGACGTCATTTTTAATGACCTCAATATTTCACTCTTCAACCTAACTTGTCACCTTCTACTTCCATAATTACATCTTCTTCTGAGTCTAATTTACAATCATCTTCTTCATCTCATGTTTCTGTTGCTTCCCCTTGTTCAAACACTAATTCTACCACTCAAGGTTCTATTTTCAACAGTTTAGCAGAGGAAATTCCAAGAACCATCAATAATCACCCTATGCAAACCCGATCAAAGTCTGGAATACACAAACCTAAACTCCATCCTTCTCTATTTATGGTGCATTGTGAGCCTAAATCTGTTAAACTTGCTCTTGCTGATCCACAGTGGTTTGCAGCTATGCAACAAGAATATGATGCTTTAATGAAGAACCAGACCTGGGATTTAGTCCCTCTCCCACCTAACAGGAAGGCAGTAGGTTGTAGATGGGTTTTTCGCATTAAAGAGAATGTTGATAGATCTATAAACAAGTACAAAGCCCGATTAGTTGCCAAGGGGTTTCACCAAGTTCCTGGATTTGATTTTCATGAAACATTTTCCCCTGTTGTTAAGCCTATTACTATTAGAATTATTCTCACTTTGGCTCTCACAAGTGGTTGGGACTTACTTCACATTGATGTGAACAATGCTTTCTTGAATGACTTGTTGGAGGAAACTGTTTTTATGGTACAACCACCAAGTTTTGAAAGTGAAGATAAAGGTTTAGTATGCAAGTTAAATAAGGAACTCTATGGCCTTAAACAAGCTCCACGACAGTGGTTTGATAGGCTCAAAACTACACTTCTGCAGTTTGGTTTTTCTGCCAACAAATTTGATCCTTCCTTGTTCACTTACACATTTCAGCAACAAACAGTTTACCTATTGGTGTACGTAGATGATATCATTCTCACTGGAAGCTCTCCATCTCTTATTCAAGAGCTCACAACTTAGTTGAATGGAAGATTTGCTCTTAAACAACTTGGTTTACTAGACTATTTTCTTGGTATTGAGGTCAAATATTTTCCTGACAAATCTATTTTAATGACACAAAGCAAATACATTAGGGACCTATTGCACAAAACAAAAATGGCTGAGGCTCAACCTATTTCCTCTCCTATGGTTTCCTCCTGCAAACTCTCCAAACATGGCAATGATCTCTTTCATGATCCTACCTTATTTCGCTCTGTTGTTGGAGCATTACAATATGCCACTTTGACTCGTCCAGAGATTAGCTACTTTGTTAACAAGGTCTGTCAGTTTATGGCTCAACCTTTAGACACTCAATGGATTGCTATAAAAAGAATCTTGCGTTACCTAAAGGGTACTATTTCTCATGGTCTTCATTTCAGACCTGCTAACTTTGGGAAGCCATTCAATTTAACTGCAATGTGTGATACTGATTGGGCTTCTAATGTTGATGACAGACGCTCTACATCTGGTTCTGTCATTTTTCTTGGTCCTAATTTGATATCTTGGTGGTCTCGTAAGCAACAAGTTATTGCTCGGTCAAGTACAGAAGCTAAGTACAGGGCTATTGCTCAAACAACTGCTGAGTTGACTTGGATTCAGGCTTTGTTAAAAGAATTGCATGTCTCTTTCTCTCCTCCTACCTTGTTGAGTGACAACAAGAGTGTTGTTGTTATTGCTCATAATCCTGTTTTTCACAGCCGGACGAAACACATGGAAATTGATGTGTTTTTTGTTCGTGAGAAGGTGTTAGCTAAGCAATTACATATTCAACATGTTCCTGCCTTAGATCAATGAGCTGATATCTTGACCAAGCCTCTATCTCCTTCCAGATTTAAAGTTCTTAAAAACAAACTTCATGTGCAGGATTTTTCCTCTAACAAATCTTCCACATGAGTTTGAGGAGGGATATTGGTGTAAGTCAATATGTGTAAATATATAAAAATATTCTTTTATAATTAGTTTGTTAGGTTGTTAGAATATTTGCTGAGCTGGAAAGCTGTATCTTCTTTATATATAAGGACTGCATGTATCTCATTGAGAATCATTCAGAATAACAAACATTTTATGTTTTCAATTCTATTTTTATTTTTCTGATATCAACGAATAGCTTAAATAACTGCTTGTAATTATAATTAGATTACAGTCGAGATACACAATTTATTTCTTCATTTAGAAAGAGTGACTTTGATAATATGTTTCAAAAGATGTCATGATCTGTATTTTGGATGAAATTTAAGTGGAAATTAAAATAACATATTAGATAGGAACAAGAAAGGAGGTTCAATCCAAGACCACCCATAACATACCGACATTTATGGGAAGCTTTTAAGCATCCTCGTCGAAGTTATATATATATTTACTTAAATATTTATTTAGAGTAACGATGATGTATAATAATTTATCATAAAAAAAATATATAAATAAGATTTATATTTCAATAAATGAAAATGATTTTAAAATTATTAGTTTCACTTAGATTGTTTGAAAACAATCACTTTTTTCTACAACAAACTACAAAATGAAAATGTGGAATTCATTGTTGAAAATTTTCAATAGAAAATTACTGAAAAAGTTCATAATATTTAATTATGTTTTCCAATATAGTTGTTGTAATAAAAGAAACTACCTTATTATAGACAATAGTTTCACCGCTGATAATTATACCAAATATATGTTAAAAAAATCCTTAAAAAACTCCTTTCCAAAAATTTATTTTTTACCTAAACATATACTCGTTTTTTGAACGACATCGTTAGTGTTAAAAGCAAAATATAAGAACAAAAGCAGAAGAAAGAAAAATTAATTGAGTTAATTTAAAAATATTCACAAATCTCAATTTCCAGGACATGATATTGAGACTTAAGAAAAAAAATAGATAAAAACGATTATTACTTTTTTAAGTTATTGATAACAACCAAATTTCACTCCAACTCTGTAAGTTATAAAAAGACTTGTGTGGATAACTTTATTCATAAATGCTTTTAGAAGACAAAAATATGAACACAAAAATATGATAGGCGTTTCAATAGATTACAAGAAGCATTAGAATTGGTTAGCTATTTCAATAGAAGCCTCTGTGAACAAGATGAGAATATCATATGAACTGAGGGAAGAACAATTATGCTTTAATTAGTCAAATGGGTTTCACCTTTTATTCATAGACCTATTAAAATATCATCATATCACATCAACCTTTTTACACAAGTACTTATAAGTTTTTAACATTGACATATATCATCAGAAATAGGTGGGTGTGTGTGTGTGTGTTCATCACTGCCTGAAGAAATTTGTCAATGATTTACCATCCAACTCTTTGTTGAAGAACCTGGTCATAAATTCATTAAGTGTGAAGTTCCTATAAAAGGCTGGTTTCTCTGTTGATGTTAGCTCTGGCAATGGTCCAAAAAGTCTCTCCCTATCACTTGGGTTGAGGAAAACAGCAACTGACACTCGTGGCTCATTAGAATGATTGGCTAACACTCGATGATGAGCACTCTTATATGCTTCATTAGAAATTATCTGATACACAATCATGAATACGAGGGATCAGAAAAAAAGAGAGGATGTTATATAACAATTTTTCTTTCAGTTAAATAGTTCCAATAATATGTTCAGTCAAGTTGGTGACAAATGACAAGTTGATTCTATTTCTGGCTAATTTTTAATGCAATATTCCTTCAACAATTCTTAAACTTATTATTATCCGTCATAAGCACAAAAATTAATTGAAACAAGACTTTTTAATTAACTAAAATTATATTATTACGATGATATGAATAAAACATGATACCTGAAGGAAATCTCCAATGTTAATAACCAAAGCTTGAGGTTGAGGCTTGACATGGATCCAACCCTGTTTGGTCTCAACCTGCAACCCACCAATGTGGTCCTGCAGCAACACCGTAAGAGCCCCTGGATCGGCATGAGAATTAAGCCCCACCGTTAGATCAGGCTGAGGGCAAAATGGGTAATAATGGCCCACCATAACTCTTCCTTCCACCAAACCCATCTCCCTGAGCCTCTCCGCACCCAATCCGAGCCCCTCACTCAGCAACTCATACAACACAGTGGACACTCGCACCACCTCCTTATCCCACTCCATCACTTCTTCTCTGCACACCTCGGGAATCTCGCTAGAATCAGCTGCTGTGGGCCCCAACCTAATCTGAACAAAAAAAAAAAATTACATATACTACTTCGATATCATAATCTTTCTTTCTTTTTTTTTTCAGTTTTTTAATTTCATAAATTGCTTATATGATTCAGCTTTGTGACTGAATTGATATTGCTTATTCATTTTAAATGTTTTCCAAACAAGAATTTCATCAACAAAAAATGAAACTCCAAAATTTACTCACTACTTTTGTCTTGTGTAAAGGTTAAATTGTAATTTGGTTCTCATTCACTTTTCTTACACATGATTTTCTTTCTTTTTGTGATTATGCTTCTAAAATCATGTTAGTTACCTGGATTGTGTCACGCCAGCTGGCAGCTTTTGATTGGAAGAGATCCACGTTCGAAATATACGATACGCCCTTCCCCATCTCCCTCCGGTACACTCGCGCCCTGTCCTCCGCGGGCTGCTCGTGGAACGCCTTCACCGCCGCCAGCGTTCGCCTGAGTAATTCCTCCGGAACGCCGTGGTTGATCACCTGGAAGAACCCCACCGTGCTCGCCGCCTGCCGGATTTGCTCCACCACGGCGGCACGAGACCCCTGCACGGCGCCTAGGTCCACCGTGGGAATTTCAGGCGCGGATTCGGGTTCCGCCTCGCGCTTCAGGTCCGCTAGTGTTTCGGGCGGGTGAACGAAGATAGGGGGGATGGCTTTGACTCCCGAATCCACCAAACCTTTGACTCCGACCTTGGTCTCGTCGAACTCCTTCACCGCTTTGGCGCGATCGTACGGCGCCGCAGTGCATACCACGGTGGCCACCGGCGATGACATTGGGAAGAAGCGTTTCGGTGTACGGAGTTCAAATTCGGTGAACAGTGGATTGAAAAAAAAGGGTGCAATTTTCTCATACAGTCACAACAAATAAATAGCGAAAATAGTGGTATTTTAAATAATGTCAAATAAATTACACTCATAATTTGGAGAAATAATGTCAAATAATATCTTAAATTATCAAATTTGAAATAGCAAGTAAGAAATAAAGAAACGTTAAAAATTTTGAAAAAACAATAAATAAATAAACAAGTCGTCGAAGACAAAAACACGCAACTGTTATTGTTTGACGTTGACGTGGCAGGCTCTGATATGCGCCCACGTATAATTTTTTCCGACACGCTACGCCAGAGTGATACCTCACATCTTTCTTTATCAAAATATATTTTAAATTCATTTTTTATTTTTTTATTTTTAATTTCTTAATTTTGAATTCTTATAAAAATCAAATTATGCATTAAGCATTATGATTCTTCAAATCATATGATTTTTTATATTGTTATTTTACGGAAACACTTCCACAAAATATATGAACAAAACATAACATTGATTTTGGTTCATACATAGTTTACAAATACAAATTTTAAAATCTAAAAAAATTGTATTTACCGAATTATTCAGATAGACACTATGTGTAATAACTCTGAAAACATGTCATGATACATGAAAAATTGTATTTTCAAATTTATATGAATAATCCAAGTCATGTCTCTTTAGAATGAAGAGTTATACGATACATGTTATATATCTTAAGTTATTAAATAAAATACGACAATAAAATTAAATAATGTTAAATTGACTTATATGATACTGTTTTAACATAAAATATGAATGATATCAAAACATTTTATGTATTATCGCGGTTAACTTTAATATATTTTATTGTATTAAAGGAAATAATAAGTTGTGAATTTATTTTTTTAATAACTTTGACCTATTATAACTGGCTTAATAACTCAATTAGCAGTTGGATGAAAGAGAATATAAATTAATGTACGATAAAAATATAAAATAATTTAATTACAAATCATATTTTTCTTAAATTTTCACATTTCACATAAAATAATTTCTCATCAATTTATTTAGAGTCTTTAACATTATAACTTTCGAATAATGTCTAAATAAATACTTAATTTGTGACGGATCTAATGATCCGTCATAACGAAATCTTCACGAGTAAATCTCGCATGGTCAGAATCAAGTTATTTAATGGATATAATAACAAAATTTTATACCTTAATATAAAGATTTTATATTCAAAGCACAATTATCAATTAAAAAGGATTTTAAAATTAAATTACAACCAAATTTACTAAATAAAAAATATAATTAATCAAAATCATAAGATTTTTTGACAACAACATTTAGTATTATATGTGGAAAACAGTAAAGTATTTCTTACTACACAATAAACAAAAAAAAAAAAATGAGAGAAACAAAAAAACCTTTGTGAAAAGATAACAAGTAAGGGTAATACTTCCACCAGAAAAGAAAACATCATAATAAATTTTTTATTTGATTAATAATGTCTTGATGATTAATCAAGAAAGGGTTACAACCATATATATTTCCACGAATTCAAGTACTAGATAATAATATACAAGTATCACCGAGTAAACTTAAAATAAATAAGATTGAAATCTATTTTTAATATTATTATACATTTTTTTTAATATATTGTACAAATAATCAAAATCGAGCTATCTTCATGAGAAGAGAATATAGAATGAGAGGATGTTGGAGACTTAATCATTTGAAAAATGACATAATATGACAAGTAAGGCTAATTTTATCCATATATTAGGATTATGAATTTAAGTAAATAGGTTATAGTTTAACAGTGTGCAAGGGTACTGTTGAATATAGAAGAAATAGAGTTTGAGATTAATCTTCCTTGTGTATAAATCACACATAGGGTAATCTATTTATAGTAGAGAAATACAACTAAAAGAGTAACTGAAAGTAACAGAATAAACAGAAGATATTGTTTGATATTATGGTTAATATCTAACAATATCTTAACAATATTAAATAATATCTAAACAATATCTAACACTCCCCCTCAAGCTGGAGCATACAAATCGTATGTGTCAAGTTTGTTACAAATGTAATCAATTCTAGGACTCCGTAAAAATTTAGTAAAAATATCTGCTAACTGATCACTTGAGTTAACAAACTCAGTCTTGATGTCTCCAGACATAATCTTTTCTCGAATGAAATGACAGTCAATCTCAATGTGTTTGGTCCTCTCATGAAAGACGGGATTAGAACTAATATGAAGAGCAGCCTGATTATCACACACAAGTGACATTTGAGTGACATCTCCAAATTGTAATTCTCTAAGCAATTGCTTGAGTCAAACAAGTTCACAAGCAGCTGAGGTCATAACTCTATATTTTGCTTCTGCACTAGATCTTGTCACAACACTTTGTTTCTTACTTTTTCATGAGACCAAGTTACCACCAATGGAGACACAATATCTAGATGTAGATCTTCTATCCGAAGGAGATCCTGCTCAATCAGCATCTGAGTAGCAAACAACTCTTGTATGATTATTAGAATCATATAACAATCCTTTTCCAGGAGATCCTTTAATATACTTTAAGATACGAATGAATGCATTCCAATGATCTTCACATGGGGAATTAAGAAATTGGCTTACCACACTGACTGCAAAGGAAATGTCAGGATGAGTAACTGTAAGATAATTCAATTTTCCAACCAATCTTCTATACTGCTCATGATCAGGTATAAGCTCCCCCTGATTTGGTAAAAGTTTAGTATTGGGATCCATGGGCGTATCAACAGACTTTGAATTCATCAACCCAGTTTCCTCTAAAATATCCATGACATACTTCCACTGAGATATAACAATACCATCATTGGACTGTGTCACCTCAATACCCAAGAAATATCTAAGTTTGTCAAGATCTTTGGTCTGAAAATGGTGACAGAGATGTTGTTTCAACTAAGAGAGATGTCATGGTTGTCACTAACTGTAAGAATGATGTCATCAACATATACTATCAAGTAAACACATCCAACACTTGAGTGTCGATAAAAGACAGAGTGATCTGTTTCACACCGAGTCATACCAAATTGTTGAACAACCTTGCTAAACTTTCCAAACCAGGCCCTAGGAGACTGTTTTAGGCCATATAGGGATTTGCGAAGATGACATACCATCCCAGAAGACTCCCCCTGAGCAACAAACCCAGGAGGTTACTCTATATAGATTTCTTCTTGCAAATCACCATTGAGGAAAGCATTTTTAACATCTAGTTGATAAAGAGGTCATTGTTGAAGAGCGGTCATGACGATAAATAAACGAATAGAAGTCATCTTTGCCACAGGGGAAAAGGTATCTCAATAATCCAACCCAAAAATTTGAGTATAACCTTTGGCCACAAGACGAGCTTTGAGGTGATCAATAGTACCATCAGGTCCAACTTTGATAGCAAACACCCACCTGCAACCAACAACAGATTTCCCAGACGGTAACGAGACCAATTCCCAAGTTCCACTATTATGAAGAGCACTTAGTTCATCTAACATGGCCTGACGCCAACCAGGATGAGCTAAAGCTTCACGGACAGTTTTTGGAATGGTCACAGAAGAAAGAGAGGAAAGACATGTATAAAAAGGTAATGACAGTCGATGATAACTCAAACCAATATAATGAGGAGATGGATTACGTGTAGAACGGATACCTTTTCGGAGGGCAATGGGCAGGTCAAACTCAGGTGTCACATCCGGAGGAGACAGAGTAGTTGACACTTGAGTTGAGTCACATGGTGGTGGTTGTGATTGGTTTCGGCAACTATAAACCTGAAGAGGCAGTGAAGAAGAAGCTGACTGCGGAGTAGAATCTAATGGTGAAGAAGACACAGTTAGAGGGTCACAAACAACAGGAACATTAAATGTACTAGGAGTGTTAACAAGATTGGATGGAGACAGAGGTGAAGATTGACTTTTAAAGTAAAAAGAGAACTCATCAAAGGTGACATCTGCAGACACAAAATAATGGTTAAGAGAAGGAGAAAAACATTTGTATCCTTTTTGTGATCTTGTAAACCCTAAGAAAACACATTTATGTGATCTAGGAGAAAGTTTGTCAAGACTAGAACTAAAATTATGAACAAAACATGAAACCCGAAAACTTTTAGAGGTAAGGGATGAAGTGGTTCATGAGGGAATAAAATGGAATGAAGTATTTTATTATCTAGAACCGAAGATGACATGCGATTAACAAGATAACATGCAGTAAGAAGAGCATCACCCCAAAAATGCTGAGGAACCTCTCCATGAATTAAAAGAGTGCGAGTTATTTCAATAAGATGTCTATTTTTACGTTCAGCTACACCATTTTGTTGAGGTGTATAAGCACAAGAAGTTTGATGCAAAATACCATGAGAAGCCATGAATTGTTTAAAAGAATGAGAAAGATATTCACGACCATTATCACTGCACAAAACTCTAATAGAAATACCGAACTGAGTTTAAATTTCATTGAAAAAAGTTTGAAAGATATGAAATAATTCAGAACGATTTTTCATCAAAAATAACCAAGTGCATCTGGAATAATCATCAATGAAAGTAACAAAGTATTGAAAACCTAAAGTAGACTTAACACGGCTAGGTCCCCAAATGTTAGAGTGAACCACGGTAAAAGGGGACGAAGCACCACGTGTGACACTACGAGGAAAGGAAGTACGACTATGCTTGCCTAATTGACACGACTCACATGCCAAACTAGACAATTTAGATAAGACAGGGACAAGTTGCTGTAACTTGACAAGACTTGGATGACCTAACTGAGCATGGAGAAGAGAGGGAGATTCTATAACTGCACCAACATGTGTAAAGGGACGAAGATGATAAAGAACATGAGACTCACATCCTGTGCCAATCACCTGTTTCGAACTCCAGTCCAGTAATATGATCAGTGGCTCCTGAATCAAAAATCCAAGGACCAGAAGAAGATTGAGTCAGACCAACAAAAGATGTACATGTGTGTGCGACAGACACAGTGAAACTAGAAGACTGTTGATCCTTATACCATTTGAGAAATTTGTTGAACATAGCAGGTGTGTCTGATGAAATAGAAGAAGGAGGATCCTTAGCAGATAAAGGTGGGAAAAGATCAGTCTGAGCAACTGCAGTAGATCGAGTAGGACGACCATGTAATGCATAACACTTGTCAATTTTGTGACCTAGTTTGCCACAATGTTCACACTCATGTAATGCATAACACTGGTCAATCTTGTGACCTAGCTTGCCACAATGTTCACACTTAGGACGCCATTTTCCCTGTTTGCGAGGGCGAGTTCGATCATCACGGTGAGATATCAATGCAGAAGAATCATTAACAGAAGTAGGTGTGTCAGGGTTGGGTTTTGCTGGTATACGCAAAAGAGTGGAGCAGGTCGATGTCAAGGTGGGGACAACCGGATAATCCAAAATCTGATCACGAATATGTGAATATTGATCAACAAGTCCGTGTAATGTCCCTAGCATGAAGAACTTTGATCGTTGTCCTATCTCGGTGGCAGGGTCGGGGGAAGGAGGCAATAACTCAATGAACTCATGAAAAAAAGCATGAATTTTGCCCATATAATCAGTCATAGAATCTTGATGTTTAGAGGCAATAACATCTACAAATTTAGAACATACATCATAGAGACATTGAGTATCATTGGTGTATATTAACTTGGCATGTTCCCAGATTTTGGCACATGTTTCGTAGGAACGAAAAATTTGTTTTAACGAAGGATCAAGAGTACCCTTGAGAACCACGCATAATTGAGCATCAATGGTGTCCCAACGGTCTTCCTCACCAGGAGTGAGAGTAGGTGCTTTCGGGGCAAGATGATGAAGATACTTCTGACTCTTAAGCCATAATCTGACGTTTGATGACCATGTGGCATAATTAGGGTCAGTTAACTTGTCAATGGATAAGTGCACATTAATATAGTTAGTGTAGATGGAAGGATCAGACGCAATACTGACAGAATTGGAAGTACTAAAAGAGCGGAAGAACTCATAAAGGGCAGAGGCAATAGTGACAGCGACGCGAACCAGTACACCAGGTAAGTTCCCAGGAAAGAGAGGTGGGTCACTAATGGACACGCTTAAATACCAAGTCTTTCCTTGTCAGAACTTTCCTAGACATGCACTTTTACACTACCAAATAACCGACAGCGATATCGGCGGTGGTGGCGGCTTCAATAGTGGTCAAAGGCGGAAAAAAAATTCAAAATAACCTTAAGCTCTAGATACCATGTTGATTATAGAAGAAATAGAGTTTGAGATTAATCTCCCTTGTGTATAAATCACACATATGGTAGTCTATTTATAGTAGAGAGATACAACTAAAAGATTAACTGAAAGTAACAAAAAATATTGTTTGATATTATGGTTAATATCTAACAATATATTAACAATATTAAATAATATCTAAACAATACCTAACAGGTACTTTACATAATTTTATTCAACCAGGTGATTGGTTGAGGTCAAATTTATTTTCTTAAAAATGTTATTTAACTAAGTATTTTTCAATAATAATATTTTTTTCAAAATTTTAAAGTTTTATTTGACAATTTAGATGGTAAAAAAATATTTAATACATTAAAATTATCAAAATAATATCTTGAATTAATATGTTATTGTTATTATTTGTTATTTGTTGTTATTATTATTATTTATTATCATTTATTTATTTATTATTATTATTTGTTATTATTATTATCATTGTTATTTTTTATTATTATTATTATTATTATTATTATTATTATTATTATTATTATTATTATTATTATTATTATTATTATTACCTTTTGAGATTAGATGACTCTATGATGGTTGGTTGAGGTTGAATGACTTTATGACGGTCATTTGAAGTTGGAAGACTTTACGACGGTCATTTGAAGTCGGAAGATTTTACGACGGTCATTCGAAGTCGGAAGACTTTTACGACGGTCCTTCGATGTCGGAAGACTTTTACGACGATCCTTCGATGTCGGAAGACTTTACGACGGTCCTTCGATGTCGGAAGACTTTACGACAATACTTCGATGTCGGAAGACTTTACGAAGATCCTTCGATGTCGGGAAGACTTTACGAAGATCCTTCGAGGTCAGAAGACTTTACGACGATCCTTTGAAGTTAGAAGACTTTACGACGATTCTTCGAAGTCGGAATACTTTACGACAATCTTTTCGACTTTACGACGATCTTTCGAAGTCTGGATGACTCTGCACGATGACCATTTAAAAAAATTAAATAATTTTATTATTATTTTATTTTATTTCATCACAATTTTTTTTCTCTCCCACCAAATCTTTTAAGTAAAAATACTATATTGAAATTTAGAAAAAAATAATTAATTATTATTATATTTTAAAAATATCAATTAATTATTGAAAATTATGATAAAAATAATTAATTTTATTTATGATGACAGTAAATGATTAATTTAAAACTATTTTATTATAATAAATTAATTACTCATTTAATTAAAAATTTAAATATTTATGAGTTTAATTTATTTTTTATTAAGTAATTTAATCTAGTTATAATTATATTGAGTTATTATAATTAGTGAGATTAAGTAATTTAAAAAATATTTATTAAAAAATTACTTTAAAATATTTTTGTTTTAAATATAATATATTTAAAATATTTCAAAATTTATGATGTAATATTTTTTTACATACAATATTTTAAATTATAGTATTTTATGGTAATTTAAATATTTTTATTTTCTATAAATAATAAAAGACTAATTTGATCAAATTTTAATATAATATTTTTAACTGAAAGAAGAATAAGAGAGTGAGAAGAACATAAGAGAAGAGAGAAAAAGAGGAAAACATACAACGGATTATGAGAGAAAAAAAAAACAAGAAATGAAAGATGAAAAGAAAAAAACTGTAATATGAGACAAATTTTTTTTTATTATTAAATTTTGTGAATAAATAATAAATTGGTGTAATTGAATAAATAAATTGGTAAATGTTATATTAAGAAATTGATTTATGATATTAATAAATAAAATAAACTGATTAAAGAAATGTATGAAAAAGATAAAAATTTGACTATCTTAAAATATAAAAAAAGAATGATAGATATTAACAGTGTCTCAACTCAAAGGAAGAAAAAAAAAGAAAAGAAAAAGAAAAGGTTTTTAAATGTGTTAACCATGTGTGTAATAAATTGAATGGCACTCTTTATCCATATTTTATATTGAAAACCTAAAAGACGTATAGAAAGACTAAAACACAAAAGAAGGAAATGAAGAATGCGAATGGATTTCCAGAGTTCCAAGAATTGGTGTGGCTGAGAAATAATGCATCAAGTTCCCAAGAACATTTGGGAGGTGAAAAGGTGATATGTGAATGCAACAAACATTTACAAGCTCCCTATAAAACCCTAACTACACAGGTTCGGTTCAAGCAAGTCCAAAGTTAGTGGTCACCAATTTTAGGTTAAGATGTTTTGGATCGGGTTCTTGTCCATTGCTGCTTCAATTTTGGCTTTAGTTGTTCAGATTGCTACCGTGTTTGGTTGAATCATGTCTTGAATGTTACTGATGAAGAGGATCCGCATGCAGTAGAATTAGCATTATGTAGTTTGGAACAAAGTCCCTTTTTCATGTTATTAGGACTTTGTTTATCTTAAGGTAGTAATGAAATGTGGATCCTCTCTTATGTTATTGTTCCTATCAGTTATGTTTTTGGAATTTAAATCAATGAAAGCATGAACTTTTTTGCTTACGCCTTTCTCTTTTCTTCTTTCCACTTCTCTTTCTTTACTTGTTTTTCTTCTTTATTTAATGGTAATTTGTTCTAAGTTTTCTTATGGTTATACACTATCACAGTTAATGATAATTTCCCAAATTTTTGTTCCATATTTTTGTTTTGACATTACCTAGTAAACACGTGGATATAGCTAGAAAGAAAAAAAATTAACTAAGCTTATTTATATATTATTAATTATTATTTTAAAATTATATCTAGATTTTATTGACATTTTTTTTATAAACATTTCAATAAAGAATTTATCATATAATATAATAAGTTGATTTTAAGTTTTTCTTCCGTAATATAATATCAAAATAAAATAACAAAATTTAAATATATTTTGAATTTTGTAACTATTTGAATTATAAAAAATTTTATGTACTAAACTTTCATGTGTATTTTTTTTTTTACATATTGACGTAGATAATGTTGATTAGAATTTATTTATATATTTATAGATCATAATAAAACCTTATTTATTGATATTATTTAATTGATATTGGAGTTAATTATATTAACAATACATTAAATTATATCCTTAATGTAATGATAAAAAAATTAAATCTATTAAAAAAACTTTTAAATTGAAGCTGAACTATTTATTTCTGTTAAAAGTATTCTGATTTTGTTTATAATAATTATTTATTTTAAGAATAAATATTTTATTATTAAATCATAATAATGCTTGTTGTTTAAGTTTTTTCTGTTCATAATATTAGGTTAAATTTACAAATTTCCCCTATACAGTAGTTGGAGTACAACTAACTTAATATCAGCAAATAAATTTGGTGCCTTTCTATTCTTTTCTCCCTATCGATTCTCCAAACAAACCCTACCTTTTAGTTTTCCAATTTCTCATCATGGGTTCTGAAGGATCCAGCGTTGTAGGTGAGCACTCGTTCCTTTTCATAATCATTTGTCTTTCCAATTCTTCGATTTGTTAGATTGTAAATTGATTCGAACTCTTCATGATTTTGTTGTCACCGTGATTCCCTGATTGAGGAGCCTTGTGCTTGTTTTGGTCATATTCCACTGTTTCTATTGCGTTCGTTTTGTTTTGGTTGGGTTTAATTTAGAAATTATTGAGTTTTGGTTGGGATGCATGTGTTGGCTTTATTTGGGCGTTGTAAATGGGTTATAAGTGATGAGTTAGTTATAATCATAATGAATTTTGATTTTGGAGGTATATGGTTTCATTTTTTTTAGTTTATTCCTACGGTGGTAGGAGAGGGGGTTATTCCTTTGTTTTTGTTTTCTCTGCAAAATAATCACCCAATGCAATAACCAATGCTGAAATAAATGGAAAGAGTGCTAAGCAGGTTTTTCCTTTAAGAATTTGTAATTGGTCCATTCGTTATCCAATATTGTTTGCTATACTTGCTGCACATGGCAATTGAGTTGCTGTGGACATTCCATTCTGTGAACTGTGAATTTGCAATCCTTGATATTGCGATTGCGGTGGCCGCAATAGGGTTGTGGAGACCACAACAACCTTGATGTCATAGCTGCAATTGTTGTGGTGCACTGTTATTAATTTTGCTTGCTACTCTTGCCATCTGTTACGTTTTTTTCTTTTTGTGAAATTATAAATATAATAATACATTGGAACTATAGCAGTAAATTCACTGGTCATTATGCATTCAAAATTATGCCATGGTAGTACAATGATTATGCCATCCTTGATCTATTTGTTTCTTAATTTTATTATCTTCCTAGAGTCATACACAAGTTAGCTTGTGTTTTTTGCATCTTAGTTTTATTATAACGTACATTTATGCATTGCTTGTCTGTGACAAGTTTAATATTTGTTGAGAACGTAGAAAGTATTATTAGTTATTTGCTATATTGGTTCACCCTCTTCCAAACCAGTTAATTACTCAAAAGCTTTCGTAGTATATAGCTTGATACGCAAGATGTGACCATCCAATAATATTTTTGTTATTCAATAATTTTTTTGTTTTTGGGGTAAGGTTATGCGGTGGTGAGCTGCATAGGATCTTGTTATTTTGGAAGATGGCATTGAAGGGAAATTGATAAATCTGATACTGTTCTCTTCTCTAATAAACATGTCATAAGTCTGTCTAAGTTCTGTTTTGCCGGTTATTGTAAATATATTATAATACTTAATATAACATATTCTGTAATAGTAATAAATTAATTTAAAGGATGATATATACTGATAACTTGCTGCTTGCAACTTTATCATTGCAATGTGGTTCATATTCTCACTTTTTTTTCTTCAAGTGCATCACTGATTAAAGTTGTTTATACCATTCTTTATGGCCATTCCAAATGGGTTTATATTACTGACATGCAAAGAGACTAGGCAGCTTTGCTACATTACATGTTCTTCACAAATATGTTTGTTATATCTTGTTTTCTGTTTAGGAGAATATGTTTTCCTCACTCAGAATATATTTTTCCTTTACAATCTCTTATAAAATCCCTTTTTTAATTTTTATATAACAACATAATTTATCAAGTTGTAACGACTGACTTCATCTGTCATTGCAACTGTGGGAGTAACACACTCTCATTGGTCAACGTTTGTTTAAAACTACAAAATCATGACAGAGATCCATGAAATAGATTTGGGACCCTCAAAATTTTGTGGTTTGTGATACATTTTCACCAATAGGACGAAGTGAGTTTTTGGAAGAGTGTGTTTGTAGGATTTTTCTTGTAACTACTTCATTTAAAAAGTTTTGATGGATTTAATAGAACATAGATTTGAAATTTACTCTTAAATTATTTGGTCATTGCAGTTCCTAGGAATTTCAGATTATTGGAAGAGCTTGAGAGAGGCGAGAAGGGAATTGGGGATGGAACTGTTAGCTATGGAATGGACGATGCTGATGACATATATATGCAGTCTTGGACTGGGACTATTATTGGTCCCCCTGGTGTAAGCTGCCCTCTGCTTTTCTGGAATAATAATGCCTTTATCTTTTATTAGTTATTTTTGGCACTTGGAACCCCAGTCAACGTCCCTATCGGCTTCTATGACAAAGTGAATATTTTGAATTTCAGTAGGAGATGGGAGTTGTTTACAATTTCTTTCTATGAAATGTTATAGATTCATAATCTGTAGTGATATTTAAGTTCTTCAGACATGTGAAACTGTCATATGTTTTAATTAGAATTAGCAAATTTGTTTTTACTCTGCGAATTATACACATACACACACATAAAAAAAAAAAAAGTGGCGGTGCGTGTCCTATGTTTTACCCATTAACCATGTTCTAGTGTCCAAGTTAGTGATGGTGTCGTGATGAAGTCATTGCTTCATAGCCAAGAAGAGTGGAGGTACATTGGTTGAGGTTGTTTCATAGCAAGTAGCATTGCATATGTGTTTAATGAAATAATAAAAATATAGGTTTGATAAATAAATTAATACTTCTGAATAATTGAATCCCATTTTATTTCATCCTATCTTACTTTTACTCCATTTTGTATTATGTTCATTAATTATTTTTAATGTCACAAATAAAGTGTCCAACTTTCTTGCTGCCAAGCAAAACTAAAGCTTGTATCTGCCGAATAATATATTGATATTGCTTGTTTTTCCTGTTCATTGTGTCATTTTACCAGACTGTGCACGAAGGACGTATCTACCAGTTGAAATTGTTTTGTGGCAAGGATTATCCAGACAATCCTCCATCTGTTCGATTTCAAACAAGGATTAACATGACATGTGTCAATCATGAAACTGGAGTGGTAAGAAACCATTTTTGTGAAATTGAAATTGGACTCGTTAATCATTAAATTGAACTTGAACTCACTAAACTCATTTAAACTGGATTAGGATTAACATGACACGTGTCTATCATTACTCTGGCGTTAATTTGACTCATTAATTACTAAATTACCAGGTTGAGCCACAATTGTTTCCTATGCTTGCTAATTGGAAACGTGAGCGAACAATGGAAGACATTTTATTGCAATTGAAGAAAGAAATGATGTCACCACAGAATCGGAAGTTAACTCAGCCTCCTGAAGGTACATCTATCTTATTTTTTATCATTGCTATTTGTTTATATATATATATATATATATATATATATAATCAATATCCATATTGATAAACATCTGTCATAATTGTTAGTAGTATCTATAATCTGTTTGGTTTACTTATCAATATGTGATATCATGATTTGTGTTTCTTGTCCATTGCTAAAGCTTCTGGCTAAGTGATTGAAAGCTAATTGTTAGAGATTGTTAACAGTATTAACTTTGTTGAACTTGTAATAACGTGCTCTGGAAGTTTGACATTTTAAAATGTGAAAATGTCAAACCACTTGTAAGCAATTCAGAATATATAAAATTGTTAATTGTTTTACGACTTATAAGACTTTTGCCTGTACTTTCTCCAAGTAGTCTTTGGAAGTGGTTTTGTTTGTTGTGCCTTTGTTAATGCCTTGAAGATGAGATAGTGTGTTATATTTGTAATGATAATCGCAGCATCTTTTTTTTTTTCTTGAATTTCTGATGAGTACATCTTGATTAGATTCATGAAAAAAATTATATATTTGATACATAATTAAATATTATTTTTTAAGCAAAAGTCAGCACTAGCTTACTTCTGTGGATTGGTTGTTAGAAGATTTATATTTGTGATGAATCTTTAAATGGATTGAGCATTCTGAATGGTTATTTTATATGGCTGTAGGCAATGAAGAAGCCAGGATTGATCAAAAGGGTCTGGTGGTGAGATGTTGCATTATGTAATTCCGTGGAGAATCGAAGAATAATAATGTAAATAACTATATTCAATAGATGATCCATGTTCACGGACGTATGCATAATGCATTTATAATGTAATTATGAACCATTGGAACAATCCAAGATTTAGTACTGACTATCATATCTTGATATCATGTCTTGTCTGTTTTTATTTCACTGAGGCTGTTTTTACAGCGGACTCTAATTTCGCAGTTTAAGATCTTTTTTTATCATTGCTTTGTTATGAATTCGTGTGTATACTTCTGTCCAAAAATTCTGGGATAACATCTGATTTCTCATCCAACTGCTTCCCCATAATTTCAATGCTGGACTGAATGTTTAAGTGTTCCCGGTTTGGTTGAGACGATGGAAAGTAATAATTAGTGACAAATGAAATTGTTCAAATTAGATGTAGATGAAGTTGAGTGAAAAGTGAGATCAAATTTATATATAATTGTATTATTATTTTTTAATTATTTATTATTAAAATAAAGATTGTAAATATCAACAAAATATTGATGATGTAATCGATTATATTGATAAAATATAAATGATTGTGTAAATTAGATATTAACAAAATGATATAATAGATTATGTTATCTAATCGATGATGTTGATTTTTATGATATACTTGTTTTTTCAATTATTTGTGAAAAAATGTGCCTTGATGAGGTATTTTAAATATTACATTTTTCACGCATATCATTCGAAAATCACACTCTATTATAGTTCATAATAGGTGCTAGCACTTGTTCTATAAGAGTTAATTGTAGGAATAGTCATAATATTGGGAACTGATACAAAATTAATCCTAACTTAGATGGTTTCTATTTCACTGTGAGATGGAATAACGTAACATGGAACTTAGTTTAGCATCTGGAAGAGATTTATAATCTCACTTTTTGAAAAAGAAGAAAGATTTAAGATGGTATATGTGGTGGGAAGAGAAAAGAGAAAAAAAAAAAAAATCTGATTGTATGTTGATAATGTGACGATGATTTGTTTTAATGGCGTAAAGTGGTTCAAAAGAAATCCTTGGAAGTTAATACTAATTCATTTCGTGTGCCCATCGCAAAGTCTTGGAATCTCTTTATTAAGAAAGTTTGTATATGCATCCAAGTTACTTCATGAAGCCTACATTTTCATTTATTTTAAAATAAATTGTATAAAACTTTTTTCAAATTACAATTATACTTTTATTTCTTTTATCATTAGATTATTTAAATTAATATGTTTAGAAATAGCAACAGATTGAGACCGAGACAGATAGTGGATATATACATAGCTATTCACTATTTCAAAAAATTCTGTTTGTTATTTGTTTTATTATCATCGAAAAATGTTTATAAATTATTTTATATTTACAGACATGTATAGGGATACTTCAAATTATTTTTTACAATGTACCCCAAAAAGCAGTTAATCAGTCTAAAAAACCATTCAAATAAATTAAACTACAAAATATAAATTTAAACAAACTTAATTTATATAAATATAACCTTTTTTTATAAACCCAATAAAATAATATAAATATATCCAATTCAATTCTAAAAACATTTTCACTTATTAATATTTTTTTTATTAACAACTTTATTTTAGTAACTTGATTCTAAATAAAAATGATTAATAATTATAATAAAATATTATTGATAAAATTGAAATTAAATATTATAAATTGAGATTTTGTAGAGTAATATATATATATATATATATATATATATATTAAAAAATAAAGTAAAACATACAAAAATAAAAATTACAGATTTAATAAAAACGTAAGATTAAAATTACAAAATAATAGAACCAAAATAATTTATTAAAATTAAAAAATAAAATTAAAAATATTTTATAAAATTAATTAATAGACATAAAAGTAGTGTCTCGGTTCAAATGATTTACTTCTACAACTTTCACTTCAATTTTCAATTTATCACTATATAGAAAAATAGAATATTCACTTTAGAAAAAAAAAACAAAAATTATAGTGTATAATTAATTTTATTAAGAGTTAATAAGCAATGTAAAAATTAAAACTTTAATTTTGTGTTGAAAAGAGTGAGATCAATGGTCATGTATTCGTGAGTAATTAAAGGTAAAAATATCCAAAAAATAAATAAATAAAAGAGTTTCTCTCATTAAATATCAACATAGATATAGATTTTAAATTGTAATAGTTAAAACTTATTTGAACTTAAAAGTAATAAATTAGGAATTAGGATAGAAAATCACGTACGATAATTACATAAATTCACTTGTTATTATGATAAAAAAAATTATTAAACATGTTTTAGTACATCACGTCACCTAACTTTCAATCACCCATGCACAAATTTTAAATTACGCATAAATCTCTTTTTTTATTATAAATTTTAGTTATAATAACGCATTAATAATAATAAAAATATATATCTTATTACCTAGAAAGGAAAAACCTATAATTAGGAAAGTACATTACACTCTTAAATTTGAAATTAAAAAACTCAATTTATAGACATATCACTTTTGCAACCAACTAAGAAAATTCTCCTTTTATTCATTTCAAACTACTTTTTTTCATCATCATCTATTCATACTTAATTTTCAACTCCTTTTAACTTTCTCTTTTTGAAAATTAAACTTCAATGCACATTACACGAGAAAGTATAATAAACTAAAATACAATTACGTGAGAAAGAAAAGGAATCTCATCTTGCTTTCTCTACCAACCAAAACATGATTTCTAAAACTTATATAACATGGAACTTGTTCAAACCATTCTTTGTCTTTTTATTCATTGTCCTCCCTCATTAGAATCATTATATATTTCCCTTTTCTTCTACCATGGCTACCTTCTCTTCTACCACAAATCATAGCAACAACAACCAAGAGGGTATCCAAAAGCTTTACCCTTTTGTTTGTTTTTTGTGCCCCTTTTGTTTCAAACTGACTCATGAGGTTAATGTGCATGCAGTTGATGAGAAACCGATTCCACAGGATCAAAACGTTCTGCAAAAGCACGTTGGGTTCTTCGACAGGAACCAGGATGGAATCATTTATCCATGGGAGACTTTTCGAGGTTCAATTTGTTTTCTGTGTGCATTTCTGCTATCTACTGTATCTTTTTCTTTAAGATTAGATCAATGAAACAAAATGCATTCTTTCAAAACTCTTTCAAAAGACTAGAATTGGATTTGATTTGGAAGTGGGTGTGTTTGAATGCAGGATTTCGAGCAATTGGTTGTGGCTATTTCTTGTCTTTTGTTGCAGCAATTTTCATCAATGGTGGTCTCAGTCACAAAACTCGCCCTGTATTTATTTCTCTCTTTCCCATTAAATATTATTTATACTTTCTTGTGTTAGAGTTTTTTTTTTTTTTTAAATATCACTTTTAGGGTTTTTTATATATATATATACAAAATTGTATTCCCAACATTACATTCTTAAAAATATTATGCTTAAATTTGAATGTGTTTCATTCACATTTAGTGACTTTAGAAAGTTGCACATTCTACTAATTCTTTTGGAAATTTCATCACTCAATTTTCTTATTATTAGGCACAACATATTTTATTTGTATTTATCCTTTTTTTTCATCATCATGATAAATGAAGAGTTGAAAAATATAAATAAAAAAGACTCAATAAATTTGTGCAACTATTTAATGAAATGTTAGTAACTTGGTCGTGGATTTGTATATGGTGTAGGGCAAGTTTCCTTCTCTGCTGCTACCAATTGAAGTTAAAAACATTAAGAGAGCCAAACATGGAAGTGATTCTGGTGTCTATGACAGTGAAGGAAGGTATATATTTTATAATAAAGTTTTTTTTTTATCAACCAAAAACACGTTAAAATATTAATATAATATCTTTAACCAAAGGTTGTGTGTGTATTAGGTTTGTTCCTTCAAAATTTGAAGAAATTTTCAGGAAGCATGCACGAACACATGCAGATGCTCTAACATCTGATGAATTGAAGGGTCTGCTTAAGGCAAACAGGGAACCTAAAGATTATGCCGGATGGTATATAAATCATCATCATATTCTTCTTCTTTTTTTATCCAATAAAAAATTATAATAAGATATTAACAATCCACTGTTTGACAAAAAAATATTATATATTTCGATAAGTTATTTTTTCTTAAATCATGAGGACAAAAGTTCAAATAGGAGGATCGAAACATTCTTGTAATCAGATATTGCGTCTACAGTGAGGTTGAAAGTAGTATCTCACTCCACTTATATATCAGTCTTAGTCCTCCACGGAGGATTTGTGTGGTGATGTTCCTGAATTCCACAATTTACCATTTACTATATTACCAAAGTAAATATAACAGTTTTGTGTGATATTGAAACTATATGAGATGATAATAGAGAGTTTAAAACTAAGTGTTAGCCATTGATGCAGGCTTGCTAGCTACACAGAGTGGAAGATCCTGTATGTTCTTGGCAAAGACACTCATGGTTTACTGCACAAAGACACTATCCGAGCTGTTTACGATGGAAGCTTGTTTCAAAAAATGGAAAAGGAACATTCACGCAAGAAAATAAATAAACAGAAGTAACATGTTTCTTTGTCATTCTCCTATGAGTACTTATTTATATCAACTTCATCAATAAAGTCTTTATTATGTTTGATGCATAAGATTTTATATCTTTTTTATTTCTTAAAAATGGTTATCTTTTTTGCGGTAGAATTCCGTTAAATCTCACATGCAATAAAAATTGTAAAATTAAATAATATATAAGTTAAAAAAAAACAAACAAATTTATTATCTTAAACTCAAATATTACCTCATTTTTATAAAATCTCAATATTAAGTTAATATAGTATCTCTTGTAAGTTTCTTTCATCATTCTATATAATATTTAGTTAATAACAAAAGAGAAATTATAATAATATAGATTTTAATACTTCTCAACTCACTCCTTAATAATACAGTAAAACCCACTTGATAGTTTAATTAAAGCATGTAAATTGTTTCATGTTTAATAATTTTTACATAAACTTGTTATAACCATAAAATTAGAACACTGTATATAAAAGAATTAAGATAAATGTATTTGAAATATAGTTGAATTTGTGATCCATGATATAATATATCTCTTAAATTATATTTTGTGTTTATTAGTGATTCTGAAGTATGTTTATTATAATCTTAAATTATCGAAAGATGATTTTGTGTTCTTAAAATAAGTATTTACTAAAAATAATTATATTTAGAGATGAGTAAGAGTGTGTTTATCATTTAAATTTTTTAATGAAGTAATTTCTTTGTTTTTGGTTTTTATGTTCTTTTGTTTAATATGCTTATTATAAATTATCTGATATATAATAAGCATATTACAAGAAACACTTGAAAACTAAAGTGAAAATAAAAATTATTTAAAATTTACTTGTTTAATATATATATATATATATATATATATATATATATATATATATATATATATATATATAAAAGAGTAAATCTTTTTTTTTACATTTTCTTAAAAATCTTCTAAAATAAAAAACTAAAAATAAGATTGAAAACAATCTATTTCAATAATTATGGTGATTTTCTTATAATTTACATTGAAGATTAATTATAATTTTTTTTATCACTCATCTATGTCTCAATTAACATTTCAATTAGGCCTATGTCAAAGGTGTACTTTTTTTTCATAAATAATATCATTTTAAAAAACATTTTCCAAAAGCATCTTTATAACATTATTTATCTACTGTATTATTCATGTTTGGAATTCGGTCCTTGGGGAAGTGAATTCGAACTACCATTTCTAATTTTTTATTTATTTTTCTAGTCGAAATTCGATCCTCGAAACCGAATTCGAACTGGTTTTTCTAAAAAAAAATTAGTTTTTGTTTTATTAATTTTATAAATAGTTTTTTTTAATTCTAAATATAATTTCTTTTTAAGTTCATAATTATTATTTTAACTTATGCAAATATATATATATATATATATATATATATATATTGTTAGAAAAACAATAATAATAATAATAATAATAATAATAATAATAATCCTGATTTTGATTCTAATGATCAAACATAAACATAATCCCATACTCGATAAACATACTGTAAACTGAATGCGAAAGCATACCCGAATGCTAAAGCGTACCTGAATTAGCCATAACGATGATGTCTTTGTAGAACACTATATTGATCTTATGGTCTTCCACCTGAAGAGCACCTGTATTTCCCTCTTGATTTTCTCTCTTGATGGGGATAGAAAGAAAGGAACGAGACTGATTTTTTGTGTGTGCTCCCAGAAGGGGACCATGACCCTTTAGATAACCAGAATTAGGTTAATTACTTAAGTTTTAGTATTTCCAATTTGGCCCCTCATCAAATTAGAAATTGCTCTATGGTCTCTACACAATTTTATTTTCATGACATATGCCTTTAGCCAAAACTTTAATTTAGTCATATCACTTTATTATTTGGCTTAATAAATAATGACCCTAACACATTTAAATATGTATCATATATATACATGACCCAAAATTTGCCAACAATCTCCCACTGGTCACAAATATATATGTCTTTACAACCTTACAAATGTGTTAGACTTTATGAGCTCAAAATTGTCATTATATTCCTTTAGCATATTCCAAAAGTCATGTCCATTAATCATATCAGGATATAGAGCCAAACCAGCTTTTCATTGCATCATCGCAACTAAAACCAACAAGATTACTCATCCTGACATAACCAAATGACATGGATTCATCATGAAATGTGTAGCATGAAAAATTACATGAAGGTGATCTGTACACGTCTATTTTCAATTGGTCCAAACTTTAACTTATCGAGATCGATACAATAACCTTAATGTACAAAGTGTAATGAATGAACAAGAAAACCGCATATCTATAGATAATCAAATATGTCCAAAAAACAATGTATACATATATAAAATTAAACATAGAACATAAAATATATGAAAATGACTAACTCCCACTAAACCACAAATTCCTCAAACTGTAAAACACCCATGTGAGCAACATGCTCATGAAAGACCTTGGACGGAAGTCCTTTAGTTAGAGGATATGCTATCATGGAGTTTGTCCTTAAGTGTTCTATGGAAATCTGTCCACTTTGTACTCTTTCCTTAACAATACAGCTGATTTATTGTCACAATATAACTTAAGTGGTCTTTCAATGTCTTTCACAATTTGCAGCCCTGTGACAAAATTTCTCAGCCATATTCCATGATTTGATGCCTCATAGCATGCTACAAATTCTTGACATCCTGCAAAATATGAGTCAAAAAATCCAGCGATCTCCAACTGGTCTGACCTCCTATATGTGAGCATATAATCTTTTGTTCTCTTTAAATATCTTATGACCCTTTTTGCTGCTTTTCAATGGTTTATTCCTGGATTGCTTAAATATCTGCCTAGAACCCCAACTATGTATGCTATGTCTAGACGCGTACATACTTTGGCATACATCAAACTCCCTACAGTTGATGCATAGGGAATCTTTTGCATTTCCTCAATTTCCAAATTCCCCTTTGGGCATTGATTGAGACTAAACTTGTCTCCCTTTAAACTTGTGATACACACAATCATCAATAATATTCATCTTGAAGTCAAATGAGTTTCATACCTTCTAGTAATGGGACAAGTTACCAATAACCTTATTGTCTTGCATGGACTTATACTTCTCATTCATTACTTCAATCCACTTTTGAGAGTTAGAACCTTGTATAGCTTGACGGGAGTTAACTGGGTCATCTTCCATTATATCATTATTTTCCTCATGTTCTTGAAGAAATACCATGTAATCATCCGAAATAGCACTTCTTCTTTCTCTAGTGGATCTCTCGCAAAGTTATTAGCTCATGATGCACAGGTTCTTGAGGATCTTGAGTTTGTTCTTCATGAACAACCAAATCATCTTGAGTGAGGGGTTCATCAACAATGTCTTGTGGAGGTTCTGAACTTACTTTATCAAAAGTAACTATTTGAATTGGTTCTGGAATTGTTACCGATTCTTCCTCCAAGACAAAGTTCCTGATTTTATTCTTCCCCCCAAACTCAATATCCTCAAAGAACGTAGCAGTTCCCGTCTCAAAAATTGTCTTCAATGTGGGATCATAAAATTTATATCCCCTGGATCTTTCAGCATAACCAATAAAATAACTACTTACTGCTCAAGAGTCCAATTTCTTTTCATTTGGCTTATAAGGCCTTGCCTCAGCTGGACAATCCCACACATGGAAATGCTTCAGACTAGGTTGTCGCCCAGTCCAAAGCTCATAAGATGTTTTGGTAGCTGCTTTAGTTGGTACTCTGTTTAGAATATAAGCTGTCATATTTAGTGTCTCTCCCCAAAGTGATTCTAGTAAGGTGGAATGACAAATCATACTCTCTACCATATCTTTAAGAGTGTAACACAAGCCCAAACGTCACAATTTGATGTTACCTGAGCACTTGTGCCATAATACACTTGAGTGAGTATTTTCAATTTTACGTTTAGTACCACATGATTCTGTATTAAGGGTTTCATTATAGGTGGCCACAATATCAAGTAAATACTGATTATCATAAATCAAAAGTGAACCAGTTCCAACAATATCTTAATTAAAAGACAAACTGAACTTATTGTTTCCAAATGAACACAAATAACCTAATTTGTCCAAATAAGAAACTGAAACCAAATTCCGTCTAAATGATGGCATAACAAAAGTGTCTTTCAAATCCAAATAAAAAATTAGTACTTAATAACAATTTAAAATGCCCTATAGCTTCCACCTCTACCGATTTGTCATCTCCAACATAAATCCATCTTTCAGAATCAATTGACTTCCGGTAGTTTAGGCAACCCTTTCTTTTCACGCCAAACATGATATTTAGCACATTTTTTCTTTACGTGTCCAGTCTTATTGCAAAAGAAACATTTGTTTTCTTGAGTTTGTTTCTTTTGTTCTGGACCCTTAGCACCTTCTGAAAGTTGTAAGATACCTTAAATTCATTAAACGTTGCAGGAAGAGAAATCAACACCAAATGAATGAGCAAGTCTTCTGAGAGTTCAAGCTTTAGTGCCTTGAGTTTAAAAACAATACTAGACATGCTCATAATGTACTCCCTGATATTTCCTTTGCCTTGATATTTCATGGAGATCAAGTTCTGAAGAAGAGTGCTTGCCTCCACCTTATCGCTTTTTGCAAAGCGCTGCTCAATTTCAGCAAGGAATTCTTTGGCACTTGTGATATTTTCAGAAACACTGCCCCTAAACACCTCCGGGATGTCACGCTTAATGATCATTAGACTCATGCGATTTGAGCGATCTCACTTCTCATAATCTCTTTTCTGTTCAGAGGTACTTGAATTCGTAGGAGTAGGGGGTTGCTCAGTCCTTAACGCAATATCCATATCCATGCAACCAAGAACAATATCAATGTTCTCTTTCCGAGTCCTTAAAATTTTTTCCATTGAGGACCGAGACAGAATTTAAATTGGCGGATACGAAAACAATTGTAAGTTGAATTTAGAACACGAGAAATAAACTAATTATGCTCACATTATATAAAAAATAAATAATATATATTTAAATAGTGGTTTAACCCATCTCAAGACACCCAATGCACCATCAATATCAAGTCTTTGGACGAGTAATATTAACTGCTAGAGGTATCTTGTTGTAATAATCAAACATTGACAATAAAACACGTCCAACAACAAACCAGTCTTTGGATTGATTTATCATTGACAAAGCAAATCCTTATAATTATCACATGTTTATCATTACAAGTGTATATGCAATTCGGCCAAATATTAATCTTCCTTTGGGCCGACTAATACTCGCATGAATATACACAAACACTAACATTCAATATTTTTTATGAACTGCCCAATTCAAGAGAAGTTACTTTGGTGACTTCTTGACTCAATTTGCTCACAAAAAATATTAAACTACCAAAAATTAAATATTTTATTTATATAACAAAATCAAATATTTAATATTTGCAAACTAATTCAAAAGAGAATAATCTCATTAGAATTCTACTAAGGATGAACACCTCCCTAAAATCTCATTAGGGATGAACACCTCATTTGAATAAATCAAAGGATGAAAAAAGGCCTCATTTTCCACCAATACATAAAGGATGAACATCTCCCTAAAATCACACTAGGGATGAAACAAAGATAGTTCCGAGTCTCTTTAGCATACTGCTCTAAACCCTAAAAGGGGATTAAACAAGTAATCACTCAAACC